CACTTGCTAAAAAGTTAGGCCTGGACAAAAGAAGTATACAGTTAGTTAGAGTAGGGTCTGCACCAAATGCCTGTGGTCGGAAACTTGTGCATTTCAACTTCGTTAAAGCGTTTTGCGATCAGTCACTGCTAAGGTGTCCTACCATTTCAGCACAAGACTGGTGCAGCCCCGTCTCGACTGATTTAACTAGGGCCACCTTTTTGACGACGATTGCGGGCATCACTTCAAAGTCTTCACTGCTTGAGAAGAACTGTGAAAACCGATGAAGCATTTCGATAGTGGTTAGTATATCCTCCAACAAAGTGCAATGTTGGTTTGGTGGGCGGAAGTTGTAGCTCTCAGCAAGAATTTTGAAGCATTTGGTACACACATGCGAATTTGCACACTGGACCCAGGGAATTTTCAAAAAAAAGTATAAAAATTGGGGGAAAGTTAAATTGTGAACCAACAATAGAAAACAATAAGCAACATATTTTCGCAGTATTAATGAGCAAAAAGGACTTTCTGAGATATTGATTTTCCATGGTAATCGGCCCCAAAACTTCCTGAACTCAGAAAAGCGACACTAAGATATCCGGTACCTAATAGAAATATTACCCAGATCTATATTTTAGAATGCCACATGAGAGTTAAAACTTAAAGCCACAGGTCGGTTCAGTTCCCTCCTAAAGTGAGAAAGAGGGACCCCAAGTCTATAAGCCCGCTGACACCATTGCGCAGTCAAAATTGTTGCAGCCAAGGAAGGCACAGAATTTGCATTTATCCGCTCGAGGCACTGCCGCTCCGGCAGCGGAGAAGGTAGACAGCTACACCAGTCAATCTTACGGAAAAAAATTTCTAAGTTTTCTATGACGCCTTTTGCTTTTTCCCCTCTTCACCTTCCACATCGCACTCTAGTTTCATATTCAAACGAAGAAAATCAAACAAAAACATTTACACGAGCAAAGCAGGAACTTGGGCCAACTCGAAGAACCTAGACATATTTTGCATTCCGTAACCCTTGAGATTCTATTACTCTTGATCATTCGTCTCCTAATCACTCCAAATCGCGCAAGTATGAACGCGGGCCTGTATACTTCTTATATCGAGACCGAATCTTCGATCGCATATATGGGGTAGATGCAATGGTCGGAGCGGACTACTTAGAACTCAGCCTTAGACGCCCTTATTGCGCTCTCTCGCGGGTCCCTCTCCTCTCCAAGGCTTAGTCCTACAGCATTCACCCGTTCTCTAATCGTCTGTGCTGTGCCATCGCGGCAGGACCATTGAAGAAAAATCAAGTAGTCCGTAAACCGTGGAGCATACCGCCTCATCCGATTACATCCTCCGTGACATTTCTGGTCGAGTAGTCACTCCCTTCGGTTTCTGCGATCCGGATCTGAATATTATTTGATATAATACTGCGGTGCGAGGAATAAGAGGAGATTCGTATGACTTAGAAAGCCGGGACTTGCTCGTACTGGTCGATTCAAGACGCGTTGACGCTCTCTCGCGCACCACTATCCTGATATTGACGCAGCTGCGTTCAAAGCAGGGCCTACAGGATCGGTGTCAGAGTTACGCGATCCGTCGCAGGGGTTTCGCGATTCTTTACGCGATTTGCGGTCGAACCTGCGACTGGGAATGCGCAATCTTGAAACAACTGAACATGAAGTACTAAGTTGGTATAGCATGAGCAGTCGTCAGTCAGCCATCACTATGAAGCAGAAGTGACGGCAGGATTGGAGAGCACTTTGCAGTATTGATCGGGCACTTGTGATTTCTGTGAACCGGCCTGTTGTGCGTCTGTCCCTATGAATCGCGCCAAATCACAAAATAGATGCGGGAACTTTGCGACGCGCGCGGACTCATGAGCACCAGCCTTTACAGGGGTTCTGTGCCTCTCCGTCTCTCACGCTCATTTTTTCTAAGGTTCATGTCAGGACGCGATGCTACGCGAGCGTACGGCTTAGCAGCAAAAAAAAACTAGCTTCGCAGATTCAAACAGGTTTTACCTTAGCGAACCGCTTTCGAGCATCCCTCCCATAAACTATTGCTAGAATCAGGACTTTGTACAAAAAAAGTGTGAATACCTCCGGTTGCGGTACCGCCAGGGACAAGTGGTAGGTATTGCTTGCGGAGTTATGTTAATGATTTATGCATTCACATAGCGCATATACAACTCTAAAAAACAAAATTGCACAGAATGGGGTCGCCAAATCGCGCGAGTGTTATAAGCAGATGCTATTTGAGATCACAGCTTCAAGAATATCGAGTATTGCCCGCACTGCCGTAAGAAGGTTTTTCCAGGATATCTTTTCCAAAACAGAATGTTGTCTTCCAAAACTCTCAAATAATCGCATAGAATTCAAACATGTAAACTGTATCAATAAGTAATAGTTAATCTTCTATGATTTTGAAGCTATAAGTGACTGCCCCTGCAGCCAAATTATCATACTGTCCTGCTCATAGGCTGATGTCAGAGTCCGCGATCCTTTGCGCGATTTCGCGAAACCTGCGATGGATCACAGGAGTTGGAAGTGTCCGATGAACACTGCGAGGTGTTGTTTAATCCTGCTGCGAATTCTGCACGGCAGTAAAGATTGGAAGACGAATGTTTGTGCTTCTACTTGTTTCATGTTCAGTGTCTATTAGTTCATTGAAATGCTCCGGCTCCTAGACAATACCTAACCATTTGGGCGCGGCCGCGGTGAACGCGGCCGAGTTGATGGGCACAGCACAGTTCGCGGGCATCTCGAGTGCGTTTTCAACAGTTCGCGGGTACCTATCAACAGGCCCGCGTTATTAGCCGCGGGCCGCGCCCAAGGATGCGTTGCGCAGAGTCAACCCTGCGTTGCGCAGTTCGCAACGGCACGTTGAGAGATCCTCAACGCACGCTGTATGGGCGGAGACACAGACGGCTCGAGCATGCGAGTGTGAATGTTCGCGCGAGAGAACGTGTCTAATCGGGCGAAACTGCGCAACGCAGGGTTGACTCTGGTTTAGGATTTGCTCTGCCGAGCAAAATGCTCTTGAATCGTTCCTATTTTTTTTCAGGAATCAAACCAAACCAATCACAAAAATTGCAAGTGCCCCATTTGAACAATTGAAACACTGGATATGAAACAAGTGGAATCATGAGCAGTCTCCATTAAACCATAACCATCAAGCAGAAGTGACGGCGGGATTGGAGAACACCTTGCAGTATGGATGGGGCACTTGTGATTTCCGTGACCCGTCGCGCAAATCGCGAAAATCGCGCAAATCGCGCAAAGGATCGCGGACTCTGACATCAGCCATACTAGACTGCTCACGTCACTCCGAGGAGACTGTGGACCTCTAATCCTGCCTCCCCTGGATACTGAGAAAAAGTTATTTGTAACGATTTCGCTCATGCGCAATTTCCTAATCTACTTCATGAAAAGTACAGGCCTGGAGTGGGAAAGGATGTATCAACAAGATCTGTGAAATTCATGACGTACGCATAAGAAATAATCAAGCAAATATTCGTAACCAATCCAATCAATAATGAGCATGTGTGCGGTTTTGACAGATCATCAGTACAATGGAATAGTTCGGTTATAATTTTTTTGAACGGGTCGACTTTTATTAATGCAAGACAAAAGCGAGCTAAGGAATCCATACATAAAAGAAACAAAGAAAATTTCAACGATGTGAATGGGATGGGCGCAAGCAGCCCTTTCAAAAAGATGAGATAGAGCTTTGCTTTGCCTCTGTTACTTATGAATAGATCACTTATCCCTAGCCCTTCCAGGGAACCTCGCTCATTTTACGGAAAATCAAAGCTTGAATTAGAAAAGGCTTGCACACATATGTTGAACAAAAGCTGCTTAATATCTAGTCCCTGGTAACTTTCTAAAGAACAGAACTCGAGAACAGTTCTATCGATAGCGTGGAATGGCAAAGCAAAAATTGAAAGGGCTGTAATATTTCCATGGGTAATATTTTAATTTTCATCGCGATAGGCATAATCGAACTTCGCAGATGTCTATGTATGATGTACTTGTTTGATTTATAAAACTATTACTAAACTTATTACATAATAAAACTAACCAGCTCCCATCGTCAAGCGTCGTATAAAGAATCCGAAAATACAATCATGCAGAAAATATCTCTAGTCTGTTTCAAAGCTGCTTAAAAGACTTAGTTTGAGTCTGCTGATTGAGCGCCAGCTTAGCGCTGAACTGACTTGAGAAATGGGACTGCGAAAAGCGACATTAGAATAAAAAAAAGTTTCGCTGTAGACGTTAACTTTAAGATCTAAATAATTAGAATATAAAGAGAAATGTAAATTAGTCGATATTTTACCGAAAACCAGCAATGGCAGACGCAATGCCTTAAATTCGTTGTCTGGACCCATATGACGGGGATCGATAGCGCCCACACAGACAACACGAACGCTGCCTACGAGCAGACGATCGACGCAGGGACAGAGCACTTGAACTGCTGTGGTCGGCAGTGATTTCTCGCCGAAACCCAAGTGCTCCTCACTAGTTCCTCATCTTCGTGGGATACACAGACTGAGAAATAGTTTTCACTGTTATCCAATCCCAAAAACCTATCCCTATCTTGAAAATCTTAAACTTTACATTGCAGAAGGTCTTGGGTTAGGCGATAAAAAGATCGAGGCGCTATCGCCACATACGGGACATCCTCCTACAGTAAGTCTAGGCGATTAACTACGGAGAAAATGAAAATCTCTCGCACATTGTGAAGTTTTTCCTCCTCAGCCCAAGGTTAGTGGGATGCCCCATTTGCTAAATAGATAAAAAAGGGAAAATGCCCGTTACGGGTAGTTACACACGCGCAGGAAATGGCCCGGTTGGTTTGGAAACCGCTTATGGAATCAAAGTACGGCTCTATGAACCTAGAGTCATTAGCGTGAAAGCTCCGTTATCGCTTTTCCTAGCTGATTCCTACTGATAAGCGCGCGAACGTACGCGACGACGACGAAGGTAGCGAGGAGTCAAGGCTGGAGTGCACAGTATTCGTGAGGATCGATGCCCAGGTGGACGGCTGCTCCGTCCACCATCGGTCCCACTGCTTCCCTCAAGACGAAGCTTGGTGCAGTGCAAGTGTACGGCATAAGGCACAACCGATTTTTGAATACGGTAGGCCCCCCGCAAAATGTAATGCTCCTCGTTCAAAAGCGAGGAAAGTGTTGGGTGCAAACGCCCAAACACGGCAATTGACGACGGGCTAGCAAATAACATTCTGGTTTAGCATGTATGTTCGATGGAGGGGAGATGTATGATATTCCTATCTAAAGTGATAGTGTGTCAATTAGTAAGACAATCGATAGAACTACAATGGCAGACAGGTACAATCATTTCGAATGGTAAAAAGACATTAAGAATTATCTCGAAGACCCGTCGTCACTTGTGTGCGGTGGATGTGCACCAGCCGACAGCTTTCTCCCTTTTTACAACGGGACAAGAACGATTTATACGTATGGTTTCCTGCCTTCCACCGTAACCCTTATTGTCAGTGGGGCGCGTAGTTGAATTGGAGCGCGCGTCCTTTAAACTGCGCGTCTGCGCACTGTTCGCAGGATTGCGGCGTTAGGGTCACGTTTGCAGCTTATTGCTGATTCTTTTTAGGTTCTCTTCCTAAGTTGATTTGGGGGGTTCTGAGCTCTTGTTTCATGCCCTTTGCTTATTTCAGTGTGTCTATTTCTTCAACCTTTCAAAGTATTAGCCTGATGCACTCCTATTTGTGCACTGTCGGCTTTCCGATTGTTCTTTATCGTCAGTTGTCTGTACTGCTCTTTTTGATCGAAGTTTGTTTCAGGATGACGGCTCTGTAATGGAACTGTCAAACGTCAATACAAGTCTAGGAAGACCGTCCCGCGTGGAAACGGATGCGGCAACTGTTCGGGCTGAACAGATCTTTCCTGCCTACCTCCAACTTCGAGTTAGTTCATGTTTTTATTTAATGTGCATCCTGCCTGTTTGAAAGGTATGAATAGCAAACGGCTTCATCTCTTGTTTGTGTTTTATTTGGTAATTTTAGTTTTGGTCAATTGCAGGATAGCAACCTTCATCTGTGTCGCTCGAACTGTGATGGAGTCAACCCATCGTGGAGTGGAAATCAAACAGTTGTTGTATCAAACAGCGAGGGTTCGTTACCCTACTTGAAATGAATTCTTTCATCGCCTGAAAGTTATATTTTTCTACCTCAGTTATTCTCAAATGGTTGACACTTTAGGTTTTTGTCCTGTTCTCGGTACGGAAGAGGTTGCTGTGGTGATAAAGAGAGTCTCAAAGAGACGATACAAGTAAGTTACTATTGCGCTTTGCTCGGAGCTTTTTCACCTTCCTTATGATGGTGAATCTTCTCTCACTTGAGAATGGTGATTGTGTTGAGTCGAATTTCTAATCAATTTGATGTGCTGCATTTTTGAACAGCCTTGTTACTATGCGGATATTTTCGGCCTCAGGGGAAAAGAAATGGTCCTGCTCTTGAAATTATTCGCTACATTTCACAAGTCCTCGCTATAAACCAATGTAATTGACGGCCTCGCTGAATTGAAGAAAAGTGAGAAATTGAGGGGTGGGATAGTTTGTCATTACGTGATCAGGATTGAGACCGCGGGTGAAGTTCACCGGTTGTAAGGAAAAGCTGCGTTGAACAATATTCATGTGGGAAGAGAGCTTAAAAATTCATCGGTGGTTGAAGCTTCCCACTCCCAAATCAAGCTTTGTTCCTCCATTTTTAATGTACGCAACATTGCGTATCAGTTTTTCTGCTCTGATTTTCACATAGAACGATCTTTCGGAGTGAGTCACTGAAGTTCTACATGTTTTTAGGCTCCTGTGCGAAGTGGTTGTTCTTCTTACGAATTGTGGTGCATCCAGTGAAGCGGCCCTTCGGTCAGAAATGGTTACTTGAACAAGTTCACGACTGACTGTTCAAAAATCTTGGTGGACTGAACATTCTTCCATTCCCATGGAAGCACGGAGCATGTATATTTCTGAAATCTTAGTGAATAACGCGCTTGGTGACATATTTATTTTGTAATTCTTGTTGCTTCTTAAATGAAAACGGACGTGAATGTATGTTCATACAGTGTATGCAAATAAGTCCACATTTCAAACGCTGAAACGAGATGAAGAAATGGAGCTTCGCTCGAAAAACAACAATATGTATAGTAGCGCACTTAATGATGAAGCACAATTGAACAGCACTTTGCCGAAAGTTAGATGAGGATCCTACATCGCACATATTCCTTTTTGATGCGCACACGTCTGATCATAATGTGAACCAGCGTCGGCTCCATCACAGTTCGAGCGACACAGATGAAGGTTGCTATCCTGCAATTGACCAAAACTAAAATTACCAAATAAAATACAAACAAGAGTTGAAGCCGTTTGCTATTCATACCTTTCAAACAGGCAGGATGCACATTAATAAAATAAAAACATGAACTAACCTTGAAGTTGGAGGTAGGCAGAAAGATCTGTTCAGCCCGGACAGATGCCGTTTCCACGCGGGACGGTCTTCCTAGACTTGTATTGACGTTTGACAGTTCCATTACAGAGCCGTCATCCTGAAACAAACTTCGATCAAAAAGAGCAGTACAGACAACTGACGATAAAGAACAATCGGAAAGCCGACAGTGCACAAATAGGAGTGCATCAGGCTAATACTTTGAAAGGTTGAAGAAATAGACACACTGAAATAAGCAAAGGGCATGAAACAAGAGCTCAGAACCCCCCAAATCAACTTAGGAAGAGAACCTAAAAAGAATCAGCAATAAGCTGCAAACGTGACCCTAACGCCGCAATCCTGCGAACAGTGCGCAGACGCGCAGTTTAAAGGACGCGCGCTCCAATTCAACTACGCGCCCCACTGACAATAAGGGTTACGGTGGAAGGCAGGAAAACCATACGTATAAATCGGGCGCGGCGCTGTTTTCGTCTGCTTTACCAAGGCGTAGTCACCGATGGCGCGTATTTTGAAACTGCCACATAATGGCGGGAGAGTAATTGTCCTCTATATGAATTAGAGTCGTCTAATGACTGAATGAGATAAGAAACAGTGGTCTACTACAATGAAAGTGCATAAGCGAATACTAGTAGAATTGCGCAAGATAGATCGTGAGTGATTGTTGCATTTCGTAAGAGGATCGTAGGTCAAGTATTTCATATGTATTTGTATTTCGAAACAACGCATGATGGTAGGAAAGCTCACAGTGTTACTATGACCTTGCAGTCAATACTTAAAAGCATCATGTTATGGTTCAATGGCGACCATCTTTTTGAATGAAAACTTACCGATAAATTCATTACTCTGCAACGTTCTCACAAGACTACCCATTATTTGTCCCTTGATTGTATAGAAGTGCTTTGGAGCAAATGACAAGAATCGGCATGAACAGCGACGTGTTTAAGAAGTTGAAGAATATACATGTAACTTCGATCGAGATGGCGCCCATAGCCGAAAGTGTAAGCAACATTTGTAAACCCGACAAAAGCTTATGGATAAATTTTGTGGCATTTGCTCACTTCCCAACGATTCAACGCATACTAGCTATTGAATTCATGTGCGCGATGTATAAACCGATCAGGTTGCGGATCATTGGGCTATCACTGCCGTTCAGGAGGGCAGTACGAATAATAGGTGTGAAGATGCAGCGATGCAAATCCAAGTTCCTATTAAGTTTCAACCACGTACGCCATATGTAAACATTCTGAAATGTAAGCTCATGGTGAGATAACAGGTTCAAAAGTTACATCAAAAGGAATGAATGTAAAATTTGTTTGCCGATCATCCAGTGGAAAGAAACTCAAAATCCAACTCTGGTGAGCACTGAGATTGCATTGATAACTAGAGCCGCGGTGAATGGAAAGAAAGCTAGCCCCAGTGCAACATTCGTTTAAAACCGCGCGCGGGAAATTTTTCAAGGTGTTGAGCATGTCGTTGAATACCTCCGATCCTTTCTGCCCATTTCCTCCTCTTTCTTCCTCCTCGTCTGCTCTTTTTCTTTTTCGTGTTTTCGTTTCGATTTCAAACCTTGAATGATTGAATGGAATCGCTTTCGAT